TACACCGCAAAAAGTAGTCCCATACAAAGCACAATAACTCCAGTTGAACTCAACCTAAGTAAAATGGAAGAAGGCAGTTCATGTTAATAATGTGTAGTGTACTAAACTGAGCGATGGTTTGAATACTATTTTCAGATTCCTAACTGCTTGGGTCTAAAGAAATGTGAATCCTTATGTATTTATCAATCTATAATTACTATAACATTGATCATATTTAGCCATGTGCTCATGTGTCTGTTAAAAAGAAGTCGAACTGTTCATGTTTCATTCCAAGATGTTTGGTAAGGTGCCATATCCACAGGAAGTAAACACAAGGAGACAAGGATTCGGTCATCCTGAAAGTCTTTTGTAGATGTGTTGCTTCCTTCTGTTGTGGACAGATTGAGATTAGGTTGATAATCTTGCCAAGCCACTTAATCTGTTAGCAGCACGGTGGAGCTGATGCTTTTTCTAGATGTGCCACTGCTGTCCTCTAACGCTTTAAGTTCAACTCGGTAATGCTTTGCCGAGTTTGCGTTGGTAGTGGGCCGGGAAAATGTATATTATTTATTTGTTAGGATATCTCCCCTAGTATTGGTAACTTTGGTGCTATTATACAACTGTTGGAGTAAAATGAAGATATGATTAACTACTTCTTAATTGATTCCACTTTAATTTCTTAAAACCTAGACAACCTCTTTCCAGATCTAAAGTCCTAATCTTTGATGTCATTGCAGTGTACACCTGCAGCAGATTGGGTGGACCTGTGAAATGTTTGTGAGAGCTTTGAAAGTATTATTCTCATTGAAGTCGTAAAGCAGCAGTCACAAATACTCACCTCACCAATCTAAAAGGGAGTACCAAAAGATTTAACACAAATCTAATGTTATTTTCTTCTTGATGTTCAAGGTAACATCAGAGTTCCTGGTATCCAGACCCTTCTGTGGGAAAGGATGTCTGGCTCGCTACAAAGGAAAATGGTCCCGCATAGAGGTAAGAAGCAAAGACTCTGAATAGATGAACAAAGACACATATGATTTAATGTTGGCCTGACACAAATAAATCACAATTTTACAATAGAGGCAGATGTAATTACCCTGAGAGCAGAGATGGAAGAGATGCAAAATACTGCGCTGTTAGTCATATAGCATAACACTTCTGAGCAAAGCCTCTTGTTGAAAAGTTATTTTCTTTAATGTCAAATGATGTAGAAAGTATTTTATCCATTGCTTGAAAAGAGGGGATATGTTCCTTACATTTTAGCAGTAAAAGTCTATTTAAAAGTCAGTGGGTTGTTTTCTTTAACTGTCTGTTTCTGTCTTCAGATCACCAACCTGCACGGCAGCAGAGTGCTGGACATCATGTTCATTGATGTGGGCGTCCAGGCTTCTGTAGAGGTGTTTGAGCTGAGAGAGATCCCTCCTCTGTTCCTCCGTGACCTCATGGCCATCCCCCCACAGGTGAGCATCGAAATGTGAGAAACAGAAACGACAGAGGTCTCTTTTGTTTGTTCTGTTGTACTGTTTTACAGTCCAACATAATATTTGGGATAATGACATCCAGCAACCTGTGTTTAGGCTGTGAAGTGCTGTCTAGCAGACCTGGCTGTCAGTGTGGGATCCTGGACTCCAGATGCTGTCCAATGGCTTCGAGAGAAAGTGCTCAACACCACAGACTGTAGTATGAAGGTAATGAAATGCTATTATGATATTATTAATAAGTAAGGCCTTCATTCATTCGGTGCCTCTTGTTTTCTCCTTCCTAATGGTCCACACTAACAATTGACTTTCCCACCAAGGTTGCCAAGGTAGATGAAAGCAAGCGCTGCGTCTACGTCCACCTTTTCACCGACAAGAACTTCCATGACCCGGCCCGCAGCCTCAACCATCAGATGGCCCAGTCCGACCTGTTCAAACAAAAGCCAGATGTGTTCCTGACGAGCCTCAGGTCTTTGTTCACCTCACTATCAAGCAAATATTCATTAAAAGCACAGTGTAGATAGCATTGCAAGTTATCATCTTGAAAAATCATGGTGATTTCAGCGGGGCGCAATCCATTCTATGTGAATTTGCCCCTACATTTCTTGGTTGATCGTTTCTTTTCACAGCTCTGCCAAGATCTCCACAGCCACGTTATCCTCAAAGCCCCCCAGCAACAGTCACTGCACCAACGGGAGTCCAACGTCAACTACTGTCCCAGCCAAGCCTCAAGTCAGGAGGGCTCTGTTAGGACCAAGAGGAGGAGCAGGAGGCAACACGACCAGCAGCCAACCAGAGACACCATCCCCACCCTCTATGTCTCAACATCTCCCACCATTACTAGAGCTGCCCCCTGCAGGTAAAAAGATATTGGCATTTTTGTCTGTTCCCTAGAAAATTAAGTGTTTACATGTGAACACTTTTTCTTCTCAGGTAACAACCTAGACGTCTATGTATCGGTGGCATGCCATCCGGGCCACTTTGTGCTGCAGCCCTGGAGAGATATGTACAAACTGGTGGTGCTGATGGGAGAGATGATTCTCTACTACAACAAGACTGAGGAGAAACCCCTCAACATAGAGAAGAATCACATATACGCCGCGAAAGTGGAGAACAGGTGAATTACTCTTTGTGTTCCCTTCTGTCTTTTTTTGTCTGTAGTGGATATTCAGTAACAGGCCTAAATATACATATCTGCTCTTCCTCCTCTCTCCTCTCAGCTGGCATCGTGTGTTAGTGAAGGGGATCCTGACGAAGGGCTTGGTGTCTGTGTACGAGTTGGACTATGGTAAACATGAGCTGGTCAGCTGCACACAGCTCAGACCTCTGATCAAAGAGTTCAGACAGCTGCCGTTCCAGGGGATCACCGCTCAGCTGGCTGGTGAGTAGAGAGGACGTCCACACCTCGCCTCACCTCGACAGATGGTTGTTACATTAGCTTTAGTTAGGATCACGCGTTTTTAAGAAATACATTTTTTTTAGTAACTGCCCTATTCTTACTACTTTACTGCTAGCTAACTCCTCCTCCTCAACCTCAATATATCCAGTGTATAGTAAGTCAGGCTCTTCTTAAATGTATGTTTGAATATTTCAATAAAAGTAAGCTATACCTTCAAACTTTTTCTCCGGCAGGATTGAAGCCGAGGCAGTGGTCGGAGGAAGCTTCCATCGTTTTCAGGAACCACGTGGAGAAGAAACCACTGGTGGCCCAGCTGGAGTCCTTGCAGGAAGCCCCTAACCCGTGGGACAGGAAGTTGATGGTCTTCCTGGTGGACACTTCACAGGAAGAAAAGGACATCTGGGTGCATGACATCATGGCTGAATTTGCTGATGAGCTGACCAACGAGCCGTAGATCAAAAGGTCATCTAGCCTGTCACGCAAGATACTGGGAGATATGGATAAAAACGTATCCATCTTTATCTATCAGTCTAACATGTAAAGGGACTGAAAGAGGAAAGCAAGGGAAATGAAGAAGGTACAAGAAGATAGAAAGGTTTGATGGAATGTAGTGACTGGAACTGCCAGAAAGAAGGGGAGGTGCGTTCTTTTAGGATGTACATCGAAGGATGTTGTGACGTGATTTTGAGTGACTGCAGTGTGACCTTTGGACAATACACCTATGCATGATGTTGGCCACAAAATTCTCAAAACATACACAAAGAAATTGCTGAATCTATCTATGATTCCCTCACAGTGTTGTGTAAGTGAGACTACATATATACCACTGGATATGGGCTTTATCCAGAGCAACAGTGCTTTGAGTTTATCCAGTTTCAGTGCGAGTCATTCCAGGGATGCCTGAATACCCCTCAACCCTGCCAATGGGAGCAACATGCGCACAATAAGTTCAAAGTAACTCTTCTCTTGCTTGGAGGACTTATACATTTGTTTACAGAATCTGCTATTTGGATGGTATTTCTGAAAAAGTTTTCCAAAAGTCAGAGCAAACATTCCCATAAAAGGAGAAGAAATAGACTAATTATGGGAGACAGGCATACGGTACAAAGACCAGTAGGTAGTTTAGTTAAGTTAAATGACAAATACATTTTTTGTATATGCCTAAATGAACATTGTTAGTTTTTTCAGTTGTTCCATTTTAGCACATGCATGCTGACACAGAGTCTACTGTATCAGTTGTTTTTAGTAGAGGTGCATCATGGCAATGCAAGTACAGCAGGAGACAATGTCCTTGGGATTTTGGGAATTTGAATAGCAAATTGACACACAGAGACTTGAGATCATGGATCTCTTCTCCTCTGAAGCACAGATTTGAGTATAATCCTTTATAATCTGTTCTGATCTTTATCTGACAACGAGACCTTCATTTTACCCGGTAACATGTACTGCATGTTGCAGATATTTCTTAATCGTGAACATAGTTATAATGTATTGTTTTAATGAGAAGCAGATTAATTAATTAATTACCAGTAGTTATAAGCTTTAAGATATTCAAATAGGAGATACGTTTGCTTATTATTGGTTCTATGGGTACCAGATAATGTAGGCCAGATTTTAGTCTGAAATGTGACTTTTCTTTCCGCACATGTTTTTTCAAATTCTAAAGACAGTAAACCTGACAAAGCTCAAAGCTGCATTGTTATTAACTTGACAAGTGACATGAATTTAACTTATATTCTGTAGAAGATGTTATTATTCATTTATCACCTCCATTTTGTTGTTTGACAATGACCTGAAGGTAATACAAAGACTTGTTTTTGGAATAAAGTCTGTTTGAGAGGTTTAAATGTGATGCGTCTCTTAATGATATGCTATGTTGTATATTACAAAAGTGTTGTGTTGTTTAATTGAAAGTAACATTTTCAAAACTCATTTACATTTCTTTATTAAAATAGCAAAACATCTTATTTAATCTTATTTACATATTATAACACTGCAAAATAGCATGCTCCACATTTGATGCAGTCGCGCAGCATCTTTCCAACTCCTTTTACAATCCATCATTCATACAATTATTACAGAGTGAGGCACACATTATGTAGATGTCTATACCAACATTACAAACATTGACAAACTCGCAATATTGGCTCATAGTTATGTTAACTATATATGGAATAATTCAGGAGTGTATCCCTTCCTTCTCTTGTAGCAGCTAGCGAATAGAGAGCATCATCACAAACTCTGAAGAGGAGAGACAAGACAAAACAGAAAGTTGAGTCAGTGCTGAGTTATCGCAAAAAAACAATGTTTAGCAGAAATGCATGAAATGAAATATACGATTAAGAAGAACACGCACAACTGGTCAATACATCTTATTCTCACCTTCAAAGTCGATGGTTCCATCTGCGTTAATGTCCAGCTCCTTTAAGATCTCCTCCAGCTCTCCTTTCTTCAGCTTCTCCCCAAGCATCGTCTTAATCGCCTCCTTCATCTCGTCCTGGGTGATCCTTCCATCTCCATCAAGGTCAAACTTTTAAAAACAACGAAAAGGTGACTTTGCTTTTACTTTAACTATCAGTACAATTGCAATACAATTCCATTTGTTGTAATGTATCTAATTCTGTAAACTAGTTTTCAGTTGACTCACCTGTAAAAAGGCGGACTGGAGCTCCTTGAGTCCCAGCATGTGAGCGGTCTCTCCCATCATCCTGGGTCCCATCAGCTCAATAAAGTCCTCAAAATCCATCAACCCGCCCACTGTGGAGAGACGCAGGTTTAAGAGCCATTTTGTTTGCATATGTATAGGTTGTCATTTTCTTTTAAATGATGTGTTTTTGGCTCACTTCTCATCTTGATCTGTTGGACTATCTCCAGCAGCTCCATCTCTGTGGGCATGTATCCCATAGTCCTCATGCATTCAGCCACATCCTTGTAGTTCAGGTAGCCATCTTGATCATAGTCAAACTCTTTGAAAGCCTCTTGCAACTCTGAATAGAAAGGTCAGGTGTTACAAATTGAGTAGAATAGCTTTAGCAGTGGTTTATCAGATGAAATAATGGAGGTTTTAAAGCTTTTTGATATTACTTAAACTGCAAATATAATGGCTGTAATTGATAACGTGGACACTTACCATCCAACTCAGCCTGAGCCAATTCTCTCTCCTGCAGAAAAAGAAAAAGTGAAATTTAAATCTCTGTATTTTTAGGAAAGTACATACTGCCAATGTATCTTAATTACTTGATTTGAATGTGTTGAAAGTACTTTATAATTCATAAGCATGCGATTTAAGATCATGTGTGTCAGAACAAAATAAAGGGGACAGAAGACATAGAGGACAATTTGCAGATAAATTGGTTTCTGTGCGATTGAAAAGGTAAATATTTTCAAGTTGAATCCACCCAGTGCTCCTCATTTGGATAACCTTAATGAAGAGTGGCAGTAAGCCTCTGCTAATGAGCCATTAATACTGCAGACGCACTGGGTTTAGAGATAGCAGCTCGAGAAAGATTAGGCACAAAACTGTAAGCACACTCCTGACTTTCGCCTCACTTCTGACTCTAATTTGTTGAGTTCTGACATGCAGTGCCTTTAAATTGCAAAGAGCCTCCTCTGTCTTGTAAACAATCTATGCCCTTAGATCTAAAAAAGTATAGATCGTTAAGTAATCCCCAAGCTTTCTCAGATAATGTTTTTATTAAAAGTGTGAGGTGCCTTGAATTATCAGTGAGGAAAAGCTTTATTTTCAGCTGTTAAACACGTTTGTACAATACAATTGTGTCTAAGTATATGACATGTGGAAGGTAGGCTTGAAAATAAAAAGGTATAACTTAAATATGTCTTGCTGCATAGGTCAAATCACAGGTTCCCAACAAAGGTCAGGTACCCTAACAGCCAAGACTAAGCTTTCTTATTTTATCCTTTTGTATACTTCATTTATACTGCATTTATACACATTTAAACTCCAAAATGTGAGTGTTCACTTACCGGCCCAAAAACACTGTTGAGCACAGAGTTGTAGACTACGATCATGCTCTCTGTGGTTTTCTTAGACTTCTTTGATTTCTTGGGTACTCCTGAGACCGAGCCTGATGTAGAACCATCTTTGCTACTATAAGGACAAATCAAACAATAAAAAGCAAAGGGGTAATGCATATACTTACATATCAATGATTTGAAACAACATGAGTAAAAGTCATTATTTACCACTCATCAGAGAGACCACTTAACATGTTATACATTTGGTGGAATGTCAACTATACTGTTTAAATTAGGGCTATGCAAAACATGGCTGCATCTTAAAAAAACTGGTAGTCTGTAAAACTCACCTTGATGCTGCTGATGTAGCTGATACAGCTGATGTAGCTGATGCAGCTGATGTAGCTGATGCAACTGATGTAGCTGATGCAGCTGATGTAGCTGATGCAGCTGAAGTAGCTGATGTGGCGGATGCGGCGGATGCAGCTGATGCGACAGAGTCGGCAGAAGTTGTAGAGGCTGTCCTCCCTGCTGCCTTCGACATGCTGTGGATAAACAGAATCAGTATTCAATTGTAACATTCACTCAAAAAATCTAAATGCATGGGTTACATGTGTGTATGCTTAATTCATAGATTCATAAACGCTTTTATGGGATGGGGAACAAAAGTTTGCAAGAAGATGGAAATCATGTTTACAAAAATACTCTAATATGAATGTATCTTCTTTGTTTCAATCCTAATCTTTAATCTCCAACATACCAAATAAGAAGCTAGTTATTTTGCTGGTCTTTCCTTACCTTGATACCTTCGTGTTAAATGGTGAGACAAGTAGACCCTTTCTTGTCCTCCTTGACTGATGCTCTGCTTCTGTTGTGACTGTTGTGGAAGACACATACTATCCTGCCTGTTCTGTTTTTCCATCCCCTATCGACCTCCTTCAATTACAGAGGCTTAACCGGTGATCACCTGCTAAACATGCAGCCAACGATTAGAAAGCAAATCTCTGAGCAGCAGTGTGAATGATCTTTCCTTCAAGAGGTCAGGTTCCTCCTGGTTCAAACCTTAGCTTCACGTGTCTTTATTCAACTCGTGCAACTCACAATAAGCTCCCAATATTATTTGAGTTTTAAGATGGGCCTCTATATAGCCTTGCAAAGTTGCTCCTAGTTCCGCAGTGAGAATGTGCTTTCTGGGCTAGTAAATTCACTTTTCAGATAGGCAATGAGAGGACTTCAGCACTTATTCAGGAAAAAAAGACAGACTGAACCTTTTAAAAACAAATATAATACTTGATCACACATCATTTCATGCCAATGTATGCCTTTAATCCAAGCTTAATAAATCCTGAACAATTATAGATTTTTTAGACTTCATTGATGATCCCAGTTGTATTGACAGTTACCAAACACATATAACTGACAGCAGGTTTAATATTGTACAAATAATAATGTTTATATCTTATCTCCTCGACCAGTGTACAATGTATTCTGCCAGACTAACTAGGCCTACTTCTATCTATACTAGGCTACTGTAGTTGAGGATGAGAAAATGTAGAAACGGAAGTGCACTCGTTGCGCGTCCACCTCCATCAAGGCCAGGACCTACTTTATCTCGCAATGTTGAGGAAAATGAACAAAAGTGTTAACCTTTGATTCGGATAGGCTTAAAATGTCATGGGTTCTTCCTCGGCCCATGTTTCAGTCTTCAATCAAGTTTTATCGATATCAGGCAAGTATTTCTTACGCGATCATCCTACTGCATATACGCTACTTCTACGTCTGCTGATGGCCCTTCTATTATATTTTTTATTTTGGATGTTTCCAAAATCAACCAAGAAGGTTTCAGAAACAACATGGAGCTACAGGTGTTGCGTCTTTTTGAAACAATACTGTTTGATAATTTGTATGTCCTTTAACAACGAGATCCGGCTACTTCATTTGCATAGCTGCGGCGCGACACAATTGCTACCTTCGGCTAGTAGTAGGGACTTTTCACTGGAGTCCTCCACCTGCGAGTCGTCGATGTTACCTTCATTAGGATACATCAGTAATTATAAAACGGACAAGTCAAATCAAGCAATCTGATTGTTCCGTGATATACTGAGCGTATACGGGTAGAATTGTAAGTTACTTTTCACAACAAGTCAGTATCCCTCCACGTCTGAGAAAAACAGTATACAGTTGGGCTGAAAAGCAAACTGGGTTGGTTGGGTTGTCGAAATTGGGTTGTCGACCCTCCGCTTCGCGTCGGGCCGAACCACGCCCCTTAACTGTGATATCATGGCCATATACCACGGCCTGTCGTGAGCTATTGCTTAAATATACCAGTTTGTATCATATTTATGAATACCACTCTGGAAAACTCTGGTTTTGGTCCTACTTGACGTACAAATATGTAGTGCAATAACAAACATAGTAGTTCAATTATAGACAATTCTAAATACATAGTCTTATGAAAAAAGAAATGTCATCCAATATACATTTTAAAAAGTGCAATCAACACAATCTCAATTTCTTAACAAAGTTTCATTTACTGTACATCTATCCATTTTGAAATGCTGCTTAGTGTTATAAAACATGCAATATATATTTATTTTAAGTCTGACCAATAGGGATGTATCTTTGTCTCTCTCCGCGAGAGTGTGCTATAGTTCCGTTTTTTGTTTTACTGGCAGTTAACTGATCAAAAATTACTTTCTTTACTTAGAAAGGACTTGCCGGTACCTATAATATGAGGTAGACTTCAGTTATACTTCAGTATAGTTCAGAATACATTTCAATAAGTTTAAAATGAGTTACAGCGTTCTCTCTGACAGTAAATAACGTGGCTCAGGTTTTACATTTCTATTGGACTAGATTGTGTCACATGACCAGGAAGCGCTACAGAGCTTCAAATACGACCACATACTTTGTTAAAATTACATTTGCTGCCGTTTTATGCTCGTTTTACTATTGCACTGTGTTAATTGTACATTGTTACTTTCCCGTTTATGTGTGTTCTTACATAAACATATTTTGAAAGCTTGAGTGAGGGTGACTGTGCAGAGAACTACTTCTTCTCCTCCGACTGCTCAGTGTTATCGCTTCTCGGCCTTTTGGCTAAGATCAAGTGTAGTATCTGTTCTTATCATTTTTTCCAGGAAGGACATTTCGAACCACGAGGAGAAAGGAGCGATGGCCGGGAGGGCCGATGACGGACAGCCGATCCCAAGAGTCGGGCTGAGATTCACACTGCGCTTCCAGGCAGTTGGAGCAGACGAAGATGTCGTATCGAGGACGTGGTTCTGCAGGAAAGTCATCATGGAGCAGCTCCATCTGAAAGTTGATGTCATCTACTGCCTACAATGGAACCAGCAGGAGAAGGCTTTCGACGTCACCCTAAAGGACGAGCAAGTATACACAAAGGTTGCTAAGGACTGTGTTGCTGCTGCTATGGTAAAGCCGCTGGCCTGCTACAAGGTTTTAAATTTGGACAGACCAAATTTCAGGACAATCACGGTCCACATGTTTAATCCCTTTGTGACTGACAGAGCGCTGGCTGATTTTTTGAGGCTGTATGGGGAAGTGCTAACTGCTGCAAGACATGTCAAGGACACCATGGGGATCTGGACAGGTCGAAGGCAGTTCCAGGTGCTTCTTAAAGCTGAGCCAGAGGGTTTTGGCGGCCTCAAGCACCCGCCTGCCTCCTTCAGCCTTGGAGCAGATCGAGGGTACCTTTTCTACCCGCGTCAGCCAGCTTTCTGCAGGCGGTGCAGGCAATCAGGCCACGTTGAGGGAGGGTGCGCTGGCGCCAGCTGCCGTTTTTGTGGCCAAAGAGGACATGAGGCCAAAGACTGTACAGTGCCCAAGGCCTGCCATGGCTGCAGTGGGATCGACCATCTATACAGAAGCTGTCCTGAGCGTAGGAGGACGTTTGCGGAGGTAGCCGGGGCCAACAACCGGAGGGAAACGGAGTTCGAGGACCTTCTGGAAGGGCTTATCCAGTGCCAGAAGAATATGTTTCCGGTGGACACGGGGGAGGCCGCGGCGGTGGAGCGGGTACCGGGCGGCGGCTCGGGGTCTGACAGCGTGGGCCGAGGGCCTGCGGGGAATACGGACTCAACTGTAGCAGCCGATTTGGGGGTCAAGCCTGGGATACGTAAAATACAGGAGGCTTTCGGAACAGAGGCTCCAGAAGACAATGGGGACTGCTCGCAGGTCGGAGACAGTAAAAGGCCAAAGACAGAGGGGACGAGGAGGAAGGGGCGGGCCAAAGAGGTGGTGGCGGTGGTGGATGAAGGAGATGGGCAGCAGAAGAGGGAGGGGCCAGGGAAGGACAGTGACCAGGGGAGGGGTAAAGCGGACGATGGCCATGGTTTGGGTGGAGGGATGGTGGGGGAGGACCCAGGGGTTGTAGGGGTTGGGCTCCAGTCTGGTTTGCCACTGGACCGGGGGCTGCCGGCTGCTCCACTGCTGCAGCCACCTCCCTTGGGGGATGACACACAAGGGGGCGTGAGTCCCTCCACCTCTTCAAGTGTGGTTCCTGTGTTATGGGCCGACCAGATGGACAGTTTCAGTGAAGACCCCTATGCAGCGTGAAAATGGAGTGGGTAATTTTTCCTTTGTTAAGGCTTAACATTTCATCCTCATGACACGTTATTTTGATGTTCTCACTTTGAATGTGAGAGGAATGAGGAACACTGTTAAAAGAAGGACTGTTTTTGATTTTTTAGGCACTTTGCATGTTGCCATAGTTTTTTTGCAAGAGGTCCATCTGAGAGACATGGGGGATGTGGGGATGTTTTCAAGGGAGTGGACGAAAGGGGACTCAGTTTGGAGTGTAGGGGGGGTTCACTCTACGGGGGTTGGGATTTTGTTTTGTTTTAAGGAAATAAGGGTGGAGGATGTTTTTGTTATTGACCAGGGCAGGGCAATAGGGGCAGACATTGTTTGGGGAACAAGGAAGCTGCGGGTCATTGTGGTATATGGACCACAGTCACCGGCAGAGCGGACTAATCTGTTTTCATTAGTGGAGCCTTTCCTTGTTACCAATAGACAGGTAATTATAGGGGGTGATTTTAATGTTGAGCTGGGGAAGGGAGGGGATGCCAGCGACCAGTATATTTCACAACTCATGGTTAGATATGGGTTGGCAGATGGGGGTAAGGGGGTCAAGCCACACATAGACAGCCCCACGTGGCGTAACTCAAGAGGCGTGGCAAAACGTTTGGACTATTTGTTTTTTTCCAGGTCTTTAAACCTGATCACAGGTAGGACCATCCCTGTTTTCTTTTCTGACCATGATGGCCTGCTGTTTCGAGTAGATGTGGATGCGCTAACTTTTGGGCCTGGTTACTGGCGCCTAAATGTCAGTGTTTTGGAGGAAAAGTTTTTCAACCAACAGTTCCCTTTGTTTTTTAAGGGAGTGTTGGGCCTCAAACCGCTGTGTCAGGGGATACTAGAGTGGTGGGAGGTAGCCAAGGACAGAATTAAGACCTTCTGCTTAGGTTATTGCAAAAGGAAGGCAAGACGGTCAAAGAGGGAGATGTCCCATCTGCAGCGACT